CCACAAATATTGTACCCACACAATGACAGTGTAAAATCCATTGCTCATACAAAAATATTTCAAGAAAGTATTTAATGTGAGAAATATTCCAAGTGATGATGTATCTAGTATCTCCAAACTTCTAAATAGTCTTGCTTGAAAGCTGCACTTAATGGCATTATGGCAATACCTATTACCTGATTGATTATTTGGCAGTTGCACATGTGAGATAAAGTTTATTTTTTTTATAATAACAAATGTAATATTTTTTGAGACGTTAGGTTCCAAGATTTAAGTGAATCTACAGATAGACTTTGGGTTAGAAGTGCATCCGGTTATTTCAATTTGCATATCAAGTATAAACAAGTAAAATAACAGCTAATTCTATCGAAATTCATTCAGTTGCTGTTTTCCAAATAGTTCCTCTCTCATTTCGTATGAATTCCCCACCCACAGGTCAGAGCAAAAACACCCTATGCGAAATAGCTGAGTAGCTATGGCTATAATATATTGTAAAATAGGTTATTTTACTGGCAAAAGCAATTTTGACTACCATGAATGGGACATTCATTCAACAGCACTTCAAACGGTTACTCTTTGAATGCTTACTTCCTTCTACAGAAAATATGATAATCTCAAGTTAGATTTCCTTTGTGGTACACAAGTTAACCTACCTTCCAACCGCCAAGAGATTGCCAAATGTGAACAAAATAGCCAACTTGATGGGCTTTGCAAAAACAATAACCGACTGAAAAGAAAAAAAGAATAAAATGCAATAAGCAATCAAAAGAAATAATTTTCAATTTGGTAATAAACCAAGGAGCATTTCTTTCTCTAAACTGAAAACGGGAAAACAAGAAATAAGAACCTGTAAGAACCAGTTCCTTATCTAACACGTAATAAGCGACTGAAACTCAGTAGGGCTCACATTTCGCCATTTCAGGAACATAGCTTAAACTCTGAATCTTCAAATTCCCGTTTAGGTTCCATTTTCATAGTTCTAAATTAATAATAATGATAATGGCACAAATATGACTTGTACAACTTGTGATCATAAAAATATGACTAGTTTTTTTTTCGAAAAGTGACCGAATAACTTCAAAATCCTAAATATATTCAATTTTTCTCTTTCCAACATCAATCCCACTTCCTCCCCTCCCAGACCCCACCCACCATGTTGGGTCTTCCCATAAATGGGATTTTATAGGATTTTTATAATGGGATTTTTAAATGGCATTTTTATAAAGCAAAATAGCGTTTGTGACATTTCATATTCATAGGTTGATTGAAATTTATTGCATTTTAAGTCTGGTTACGCAGTAATATTTGATTCATATATGACATCTATATAGCAACTTTTGAGTACCTCTATATAGCAAAGTATAGAGAGTATTTTGGGAAAAAATCCATTTCCAGATTCACGTTTCCCTTTTGCATTTCCCTACTTAGTGTAACACAGTTTCAGTTTTTAGGACAACAACCAAAATATGTAATGGGGGAATTACCAAGAACATACAAACTATGCCAGCGACCATACAAGCAGCGAAGCCATAGACTCTCTGCACAATCAAAACCCAGAGAGCAGAATGAGAAACGCATTTGGGGCTATCCAGTAACCAGTAAGGACTGAAACTCTGATCATGAAATAGAGGGTTTTCCAGTACGGATTAAATCTTGGAGCAGAAGTGGGGAACTGAAAGCTCAAATGTTAAACGGGAAAAGCTACCTGAAGATGAGATATAGCGCAGAGGCCTTCTTGATCGTCCAAAAGGTCGTCTTGCACCTCATCTCCCCCAATGATAGATTTCCACATTGATGTTATCTTTCACGGATTCGTAGATCCTCGGTATGGGTTCGGATTATAAACCAGCCTCCGTCTTCTATGTTCAAACAACTGATTACCTTCTTCGAATTGGGATCAGTGGATCACTCCCTCATGAAGTCCTTCTCCTTTGTCTGTAGAGTCTCTGCAGCCGTTTGAGTGTTTGACATTTTAGTAAATCACGTGAAAATCTCTTTCTTTGTTAAAGGAGCATTTATGCACTTTTTAGCTTCATTTATTCTTAAGCTGAAGTGTTTGAGTGAAAATGTAAAAGTGATTGTGATGCTAAAATTTGCTTCCAGAATCAGTTTTTTTTAAGTTGGGGGTGACCAGCTTTTGAAAACTGATTCTGCTTCTACTTTAGAAAAGAAGCAGAAACAGAATTAGTTCCAAACACCCCTGACAATACATTGAATATTAGGAGTTCATATTGAACATCCTCATTTCTGATTTATAGGAATATTTTGTACTACGTAATTCATCTTTTTTCTTATTTTTTTATTTTATAAAAACTTATTAAATTATATCTAAAATCAAGTCCTATGAAATTTAATGTGAGAATCTAATGCAATATGATACTTTTGAAATATGCAACTTTTTAAAATGAGCATAAAATCGACCCCAACTGAGCGTACGCAATTTACAAAATAAGTATAAAAGAATTCAAAAACTCATTTGTTTATCCTCATTCATTTTAAGTGTTATAGTACTAGGGGTGGGAAAAACCGAACCGAAACCCGGAAACCGACCCTGGACCGACCCGAATTATGATCCTGGTCCGGGTTTTTTCTTTTTAACCGGCCCGAATTAAAAAAACTCGGACCGAACCGAAAATTGCGGGCTCATTAACGGGCCTTAAAATCTATAACCCGGCCCGAACAAAAAAAAAACCGAAACAATTAGTTTTAATATAAAATTCATATAGTATATGAATATAAATAAAAGATTTAGTAACTTTTAGTGACTACAAATATGTTGAATTTGTTTAGCGTAATGATAACCATGAGAATATATTTATAGCAACTCTAGTAACTTTTTTATTTATAAAATTTATTTCGTAATATTTTTAAGAAACCTATATTATTTATATATATACATCTTACATAAAATATTAAGATAATTATCTTCTTTAAATTTGAATTGTTGGTTATTCGGAGACTAATATTTGTGTTATTATTTGCGGTTTGTATTTTTGATTAATTTTACTTGAAAATAAGTGTTAAAATATAAAAGAACAATGACATATTTCACGGCCGGGCTTTAACCGGTCCAACCCGAACCCGGACCGAACCCGGGCTACCAAAAACCCGACTCGGACCGAATATAATGGGCTTTGTTCCGGTCCCTAATTTTCATAACCTGAGACCTTCCGGGTAACTTCCGGGTTTAGCAAAAACCCGACCCAGACCGGACCGATCCCACCCCTATGTTATACCCATTTGAGTTTAACATAAAACTCTTTTTTAATGTGATCAATATTCATTTGTGTATGTTCATTCCTTTTAATCTATACTCATTTGAGTTTAATATAAAACTCATATGAGATCAATAGCATCAAGGATTCCTAGCAACAAAGTGGACTCCCATTGTCTCCAAAAATCACAAGCTCAATCGACAAACATCTTGAGCTCAAGCAGACGGAATGCTGAAATCATGCCCAAATATTTAAGTCGAATATAAATCATGGGAAGTTTTCTCATTACACCAGTTGGAAGAAAGCCCCGAGCACGCTTTATAAAAGGTGAACATAGACGTCGTAGTTAATGAGCCATGTGTTATTAGGGTGTGGAGTTGGGTTGCCTGTATTGATCATAGACAATTTATAACAGCCTTCATTGCATCCAAACATGGTGATTGGAGTCCAGCTGAAGCCAAGGCTATGGGAGTTCGAGTTGCCGTCAGTGTAGCTATTCGGGGAAGGTTGTGAAAGGGTTGAGTTCGAGTCACATGTGTTAACGGTGGTGCAAGGAGTACGAGAGGTGAACAAACTCTTTTTTATTCTGATCTGTTGCTCGAGGATATACGAGGCATATTGAGAGCAAAAAGTAATTTCAATCTATCTTTTTGTAAGCGACTTGCGAACCGAGTTGCCCATGAATTAGCTAGGCAAGACATGTTATTAACATGTCAGGAAATTAAAGTACTTTTGATGTTATTCTCAACTATATTGTAAACCGGGTGGCTACTGATTTGATTAATTAATGATATGATTTCTGTTGCAAAAAATTGTAATACTATGTACTTATGTACTACTGCCTCCGTCCTACTAACATTGAGACATTAGTGTGTGATGAGGTTATTAGTATGACCGACCAAAATATAAAGATGAAACAATCTCAACGGGATAGAAGGAGTATTAAAGAATTATATTTCTATTTTATAAGGTATAAAATTATCTTAAAATGATAAAAGAAAAAAACACATTTAAATAGTAATAACTGATAAGAATTTTAAGGGTATTGCAACCAAGCATTCCAGTCCAGCAGGTTGTGAGGTTACCGTGTATAGTGAGGGGTCTCGAGTTCGAAACCCGCTACGCACATAAGGGTTCGAAACTCAATGAAGTGAGTTTCAACCCTGATTACTCCAGCCCCCCAGGCCCCTCCCCTAGACCCCCGGAGTAAGAACAACAACACGCCAACACGCCTTCTGACAATGGGAAGACCCAGAGTTAGTTCAAAATCCCTCGAGGATGCCTGCCAGATCCTCGAAGGGGTGAATGATGCCACGACCGCGTCCAAGAAGGATGCTGACACCGCCATCTTCACTGAAATGGAGTAGGTAGTTGCCGACCTACACACTCATCATCTTCAGAAAAACGCCCCTGACGCTCGCATCAAACTCGAGAAATGAAGGAGCCAAGGGAACAATAGACCCTCCCAACCCCAATCTTCTACGGAGTATTATTATACTCAACAATGTAAGTGTACTTATATGATACATTTTTTTAGTACATGAGTTTAAGTGATGATTTGAAAATAATAGAAGAATTCATTTGCTGATTTTCCAAGTCTTTACTGATTTTGTATTAACTTTTTGGTCAAAATCGAAAAATCCTTATAATTGGTGAGATTGGCTATTACTCTTTCTTTGGATTTATTTATATTCAAATGTTTGTTTAGAAAAATATAACTATTTTTTTTTTTTTGAAACAAAAAAATATAACTATATTAAACTACGTAGTATTGTCATTAGAAGCATCATACTTCAAAAATTCCCTAAAACCTCTGTACTGGGCAACTTTGGGAGAAGGGAGTGAGAACTGAGAGGGAGACGCCCAGCTAGAAGCCCCCATACTTCTGCTTGTCTTCAGGCTCGCTACCAGAAAGAAGAGGTTAAAGCCGGAGGTTAGGAATGTCATCGACGCTACTTGAGGTTACGCGTGCGTCGCATGAGGAGGTAGAGCGATTCGAGCGGCTAATCGTGAAGGATCTCCAGAACGAGCCGGCGACCAACAAGGACCGCCTACACCAGAGCCACCGCGTTCGCAATGTTATTGATCAAATCATTGAGACCACGCACAAACTCGTAGTTTCCATTTACACTTTCAGCTCAAATTTTCTATTTGCTTATTTAGGTTACACATTATATCTGTTAAGCTAAATCAGCTAATCCTCTTTTCTGTTGCGGAGCAGGTTGATATTTACGAAGATAAAGATGGTGCTCGGAAGGATGAGATTGCAGCCCTGGGAGGACAGGCGGATTCTGTGTCTACTGTGTTCAGTGCTTTTTATGACAGATTAAAGGAGGTAAACGTCAAGGTTATTGTACTTCTAAGTTTGTATAGTTTTACTCCATGGGTATTAATGAAAACAGGTATTATTACAATTTGTTCAAGTCAAGAGTGTATCATGAGCATAGTATTGCTTAAAGGTGATTAAATTGTTACATAATTAGGACTAAAACATATATCATATTCTCAAATAGGATTGCTATCGTTTTATTCCTGAAATCCGGGTCACCCATCCTTAGAAGAACCATTCTTGATTTTGAGGTTTCAATACTTTGAGAAAACAATGATAGTCCTATATTTAAGCACTCGGTATATCTTTTAGTCCTATCTTGTGCAGTTTGTAGTGAAAAAACTTGTGCGTCTAACCTAATGACCTATGCATATGTTGTCCGATGTTTAGATACGTGAATACCATAGACGGCATCCTTCTGCACGTGTTGTTGATACCAGTGATGAGTATGAACATCTTCTCAAGGAGGAGCCACAAGTGGAGTTTAGCGGGGAAGTGAGTGTTCCTCTTTCTTCTATATGTGCAAGTATTTTTACATGCATACACATTTTGGTGACTTGTTGTAGCACTTTAGTGCCTATAATATGTAGAGTACTACTTCTGAATCCTGTTATTGAAGTATTTTACTATTTGTTGTTTAGAAAAAGAAATAATGATCATATCACCATGTTATAATAAAACTTAGTAGTTTAAACGTAGGAGCAACTGCATTGTTTAGGGAGTGTAGTTTTCTACTTGGGAAAAAATATTTGTTCACAGGAAATAACAATGCTTTGCTATGTCTTTGCTGAATTTTCTGTTTGAGATGTAGTTATTGCTTTTAGCATACCCTATGCAAGCACCAAAGAGAGGGACTAATTTGTTGATGTGAGAAATTATGAATGTGGTGTTATAGTTGGAGAAAGCTTTGAATTTGGATCAACACTTTTCCTTGAATTTATGATTTCCCTATTCATAGCCTTATAGTTTATTATTTCACTATCGGCGATGAGTCCACATACTATATGGTTCCAAAATTCTCAACCGATGTACAATGAGTGTACTTTTTCCATCAAATTCCACATATTTATCGGTGTGTGCATTTGAGGATCTGCTATGGTGCTCTATTATCATGTAGTCTGCATGTTTAGCTTTAATAGTTCAGTAGAAATTTATAGTAGTTCTGTTCCATCTTTCGTTGGCCTGGTTAACTTGTATTCCTCACAGGAGGGATCTGGGAGATACCTCGATTTGCATGAGCTGTATGGTGAATATATTAACTCCAAATTTGGTGAGCCGATTGAATATACTGCGTATCTTGAAGTCTTCTCCAAACCTCAACTAATTTCTCGTAAGCTGAAGTCAACAAGGTAAACTCCCTCTCCCTTTCTCTGTTCTTCAATGGATGTTTGGGGGTCATAATTCCCATATGACCAAGAGAGCAGAGCTTAGCAGAAGATCTCTTGGGCGGTCTGGTCTTCTTCTAAGTGGCCTTTTCCAGCGTGGGGTCCTTGACGTTGTTGGTGTGAATGATAGTAGTTGGCAAAAGCCACGGGCTTCTCAGAGGTGGCGTCGTTGGTGTGTATGATACGCAAGTGCCAACTGAACTGTCAGCCCGCCATTTTGATGCCATAGATATGACATTAGAAGAAGACCCCTCTCGAGGTCTTGTAATGTATAGGAAGCCTGATAGCAACAGGCCCCTGGTTTTTCCCCATCTTCTTCATCCTTAAATCAAAACTGAAGAAACATTCTTGTGCATGTGGTATTTTTTGAGCTCAGAGTGGAATTTTAAGTCTTTGCTTGTCAACAAATTACCTTCTTTTATTTCTCAATTGTCAATGAATTGTGCACCTATATTTATAACATGTTTCCTACCACCACCTATGATATTCTGCTTTTATGAACACTACATTTGTTTCCCCAACAGGCAGTACATGGAGTATTTGCAGAAGTTACTTGAGTATTTGATATACTTTTTTCAGCGTACAGAGCCTTTGCAGGACATTGATAGGATATTTTTGAAGGTCTGTTTTACCATTTTTGCCCCCTTCCCCAATTTGTAATGCAATTGCTCTTAATCTCCCCATTTGTATCAGAACCACCACATGTTGTGGTTATATCTTGAATTCTTGACACATCATCGATGTGTAGAACACTGTCTCACAAGAATCTGGAACCATGCTACATCATGGTTCTAACTTCTAATGTGATACATTGCTGTTGTTCAGAATTTTATTCATGTCATTTTCTAATCCTTTGCCATTTAGCTTCATATATAATTCTAACATTGCGCCACGATTTGTAGGAGTCCTTTGTAAGCTAAAATGGCATGCATATACCTCATGATCATATTTTCTTGATGGGAATGAATTTCTAGGATAATGAAAGGGGGCAATGAGATTTCAATGAGTACTTTTTCTCCTTGGTTTTTTCTTTTGGAATATCAGGAGCTATCCTTCTTGATTTCTTCTTTCACAGCTTCATGAGTTTTCCTTCTTGATTTAAATGAATAAGTCCTAGCATATCACATCCTAAATAGATAAGCTAATAAATGCATTAAAATTAAATTAAAATAAAATCACTCAACAATACTTTAGTAAATCAACCAGCTATATCACTCCTCAATCTTATACTTGATTAGTTGATTGCTCTTTTATTCTTTCCATAATTTTATAATTTAACATAGCAAAATAAGTTTCTTCTATTCTCCAATTGACCTCCTGTAGCTCAGTTGTGGTGGATCAGTGTGATTCACTTTCTTTATGCATGTAATTTTCAGAAGTTGTTTTTTCATTTACTGTAGCTTGATGGCGAATTTGAAGAGCAGTGGACTAATGGTAAGTTTGAAGGATGGGAGAATGAATCTCAAGAAAATGGTAGTGCTACAAAAGATCATACTGTGATTGATCTAGACTATTACAGTACCATTGAAGAGTTGAAAGAAGTGGGCCCTGATAAGCTAAAGGAGGTATGCAAACTTTTGTGTTCACATATACTTGCTTACCATCGTAACACTTGATCAAACTTCATAGTTTCACCTCTTTATTTGTGGTAGGCATTAGCTGCACTAGGATTGAAGTCAGGAGGTACTGTACAGCAGCGTGCTGAAAGACTTTTCCTTACGAAGGTTAGGTTGCTAGAGTGCTAGATATTGCGATCATTATATACATAATATATAGTAACTATTTTGGCATGAGATTTTGTTATTTTGATAGGTACAGGTAATAATTTGTATTCCCCTCCCACTCATGTTTATTCTGATCAGTTGGTTTAGTACACAAGTACACAACTACACATTTATTCACCTTGTTGAGTTCTGTTTGCAGCATACACCTCTTGAAAAGTTGGACAAGAAACATTTTGCAAAAAATTATCAAGGTTCAGTGCAGAATGGAGGTGTTTCTCTTCCACAACTAAATGAAGATGCAAAAGCTGTTGCATTAATGGAAGCAAAAATAAGAAAGCTGTGTGATCTCCTGGATGAGGTCGGTTTATCATAAATGCTTATATTGTAGGACACTAGGACTGCAACGAGGCACTTCTAATAGTTTTAGACTTAAAGAAATAATCTAATGAACCATTGTTACTCACAGAATCTTTGCTTACCATGCAGACAATTGTTCGCACTAAGGAAAATGTTGAGAAGAAACAGGCTCTGACATATGAGGAAATGGAGGCGGAACGGGAAGAGGTAATTCTTAGACTACCCTGCTGAAAAGAAAATTAGCTTAATTCTGGATAAAAATATTCTGTGGAAGTAAAAACTGCTATTTTGGTAGTACCTCCATTGTCAGGGGGGGGATCAAGTTTGTACAAGTTTGTATCTTGAGAAATATGCTGATATGTAGTTCTTTTTTGTTCTTCACATCACAAGTGTAGCTATAGATATTTACTAATATATTTGTACATGCTAGATAATTTTAGAAATACCATGTACTCATTTGTGTGTCTACATCAATATTGGAAATAATTAAGAGATATACCTCAATGTTTATGGATATTTAAAAATGGTTCAACAATATGTAATTCTTAAATTTTTTTTGAGTTACTTACTTGAATGTTTTGAATATCCAAATATGATGCATTCATTATAATTATTGGTACCAAATGGATACAAATTAAAGAATTGATACTGATTTGATACTATCCCTAAAATTTCTGATACCAAACTGGTCAAAGACCCTCCATCGTGTTAGACCTCCGCCGCATGATAAAAGAGTAATGCTTCACCATAATACAACTTCGTAATTCAAGGGAGGATTTTTTAACCCGTCAGGCAAATCACTAAAATCAGTGGGGTAAATGCCAGAGAACATTTACCAGGGATTTATTAAAAAAGAAACAGGTACATAAAAAGAAATGATGAACTTTTTTGGGACACTTTTTTATTTAGAAAAGTGCATTAAATTTTATTAAAATTAGATTAGCTTTTTTTGTTCAAATAAGACTCTTTAAAATAAAATAATAAATTCTCAAATAGGACTCTTATTTGGGACAGAGTGAGTATAGGATTATTTTATGTGTCATCTGTAAATCACTCGTTACCATATGTTGCAATACTAAGTAGGATATGGTTCATATATTCACTGTTATGCTCTACATTGCATTGGTCATGTGCAGGATGACATTCCATAGCAGATGAACTTGTAGTTTGTTTTTTTATTAGTTTAAAAAATGCATCATCTTCTGCTTGCAATTTCTAACAGGAAGATGTACAAGCAGAGTCAGAGAGTGACGATGATGAGCAGCAGATTTATAACCCCTTGAAGTTACCTATGGGCTGGGATGGGAAACCTATCCCATACTGGTTATATAAACTTCATGGCCTTGGTCAGGTAAATTGTAGTTGGTGTGATATTAGGGATGTTATCTACAAGACTACAACCATGAGTTCCTAAGCTTTTTATTCTCAGTCTTACAGTTCAGCATGGTCCAAATGGATCGCCCGTCAATGCAGTCATCATGATCCCTCAAAAGCTATGATAGTATTAGCTTTCGGATGATAACTGTTATAAATGTGCAGTTGTCATGATCCCTCAAAAGCTATGATAGTATTAGCTTTCGGATGATAACTGTTATAAATGAGTTGTACATATTGATGGTTATAAGGGTAGTTTAGGATATCCCTGTGATTAGTTAAACCCTAGTACATATTCTGTGTTGTGTAACCATATATGTGATATGAAAAAAAGGAAATTTTCTGAAATAGGAGTAAACAACTTTTGTAATTCCAAAATAGGACTGCTTTGTTATTCTTTCCAAAATAGGAGTCACATGAATACTGTCATCTTGTAGTCATTACTGCCAAATAGTTGCAGTACTAGGCATTCAAAATGGTAGTATTTATTATGAAGTATTCCCTCCGCCCCATAAAATAGTTCTCACTCGGATTTGGATCGGAGTTTAAGAAAGTGAGAATAAAGTAGAATTGTATGGTTGTGGTTGAGTAAGAAAAAAGTAAATGAGTGATAGCCAAAAAAACTTTTCAAAAAGGGAAATGAGAACTATTTTTTGGGATGGTCCAAAAAGGAAACCGGGAAGTATTTTGTGGGACGGAGGGAGTATCATCTATGACAGTATTTTACAATCATGCCAATAATGACTCTTATTTTAGAAGAAAAACTTAGCAGTCCTATTTTGGAATTCCAAAAAACTTTCTCCATCGGTATTGCCCCTACATTTTGTCTCCCATCTTGAACATCTTCATTATCATATGTTCATGTAATTTACTAACTAACAATAGTTGATGAGTCTCATAGGTTACATTTTGATGTGATATAGCATGTGACCTAAGGATGTTTTTACTTGGACTGGTCTGTTTAAGTTTGGCCTCTAGCCTGAACTGGTCTGGTAAATGTCTAGTCCTTGTGTATTTTATAACTATGAAAGTCTGGTTTGGTTTGTTTAAGTCTGGTATGGTCTGAGACTGAAGACAGTCCAAGTAAAAACATCCTAACTAGCAACTAGTTGGGAGCCCTTATCCGTATTTATTACACAAATTCCTTTTCAAAACAAAAAATTGAGAACTTATAAGAAGGAAATGAAGAATTCTTTCAACAAAAGAGAGAAGGAAATGAAGAGCAAAATTGTAATTACCTAATAACCTGCCTTTACTCAACCTATCTTTTCGCCATGCCCAACCATGCCTTGGTTTATATGCCAAACTGGTTCTTCCACCACTTCCATCCAGCCCGTAGGAGATCTTTTACTGTTTTATTTCAATACCTCTTGTTTATGACGTTCTTAATTGTGTTTATGTTTTTATTGTCGTTTGTTATGTGTTTTAGGAATTTAAGTGCGAGATATGTGGAAACCACAGTTATTGGGGTCGTAGAGCATACGAAAGGCATTTCAAGGAATGGAGACATCAACATGGAATGCGATGCCTTGGTATCCCAAACACAAAGAACTTCAATGAGATAACATCTATTGAGGTATCTTCTTTTAACCCACCCCTCTTGCATACCACCCTCCCTAGCCATTGATTTTTTCTCAATCGACTGAACAACAGCTAGTGAGTCCCCAAACTGCTGATGTCTCCAGTTGCGGACAGGGGAATTGTAAGCTTCTCATGTGAAACAATATGTGTTATGCAGGAAGCAAAACAACTTTGGGAAAGAATCCAGGAGAGACAAGGAGTTAACAAATGGCGCCCAGATCTTGAGGAAGAGTACGAAGACCAAGAAGGAAACATCTATAACAAGAAGACATTCACAGATCTGCAAAGGCAGGGTTTGATTTAGAGGTTAGTTTCTTTTTGCTGGAGTGGGATGTATAACATTTTTGGAAGAACTTGTAAACCTGGCTAGTGTGCTCTGCTACTTGTACAATTGTACTTTCAGCAAACCGAAGGGCCAATCTTTCATGATGATTTGATGTCATCTTGCAGTTTTCTTGAGCATCTTAGTAATTTACGTTTGGTGCATGAGGGAGGACAATATTTGTACTTTGTACATAGCCTGGATTCCCTGGTGCACCCAGAGGAGGCACAATCTGTTTCGACTGTCAGGGGATGCATATGAGTTTTCCTGTATTCTTTTTCTTAATCAGGCGTTTCAACATTTGTAGCCATTCTATCACTAGATGAGGACTTTTCTGGAAATGAGGAGATCTGAACTGGAAGTTGCTAGTTATGGTTTCTAATTTTTCATGTTTTGCTTTCATGCATATGCAAGTCCTGTTGGGTTGGATGAGTGATGTACAAGTATTGCGCTCAGTAGCTTATCAGCTACTGAGGGACTGAGGCATCATGCATCTTATTAACATACGTTTCGTCGTGCAAGGTTATGTACACAAGTATTAGTGAGACTTTTAGCGTGACTGATGTGGCAGTAATTAGTATATGATATTTCACTTGTATCCTTTAATTATAGCGGCAATGTGGCTTTAACACATGGTATTCGATATTTAAAATTTTCCATTTATTGATTTGAGGTTTAAATATGTTTTTAGTCGCTAGTTTACTAGTTTGTTACAGACATATTTTGTTTTACATTGCTGTGGAAGTACTTTTTGTTTTTCATCTCTAAAATTTATATTGTTTTTTTAGTCTATGACAATAACATCCGTTTGACTATGACAACCGTAATGAATAGATTTCCTTTAATTCTTCATCGTGTCATTAAAAAGGACTTTAATTTTATTTTTAGAAGGTTTTAACACATATTTTAAAAATGTAAATAATTAGTTTTAACTCTTATATTAGCCTCAGCGTTTTAAATGGATCTAAATACAACAAGATATGATCAGATCAAATTTTACACGTGTTTGGAGTAGGGTTGGACTCGGGCCGACCCGGTCTAGCGAGCCTCAGGCGGTCCGGGCCTACCCGGCCCGGGGATAGGGCGGTCTGGGCTCGGGCCTTCGTAATCTTGAACCGGCCCGGTCCGGGCCTAACGGATCTTTTTTTTTAATTTTTTTTGGGCTTTCAAACGGCTCTAACAGCCGTTGGGGTCTTTGGGGAGCCTCCAAACGGCTCTACAGCCGTTGGAGGGGGGTGGGGGGAGAAAAAAAAAACCTATTTATACTCCTATTTTCTATACATTTTTTACACCTTCATACAATCCTACTCTCTAATTCTCTATTCTCTCAAATCTCAATCTCTAAAATCTTCATTCATCTCCATCTTCATCTTCTCCAATTATCTCTACATATATATTATTTATATAAATATTATTATATCTACTTATATATTTATTATCTACTTATATATACATATATTACATTACTAATATTTATTATCTACTTAATATATATTTATTATCTTCTAATTATCTACTTTACATATATATATATATATATATATATATATATATATATATATATATATATATTATATAACTTATATTCCTTATCTACTTAATCTCTACTTATTATTATATCTACTTATATATTTATTATCTACTTATATATACATATAGTACTTTACTAATATTTATTACCTACTTAATATATACTTATAGTAGTATTCAATATAAGTGTATTACTCATCTTATAGTAGTATACTTATATATTATATACTATAAACATTATATATAAAATATACTTATATGAGAAGTGATCAGGTCCAGCCGGAGGGACGGGAAGCGCCGTCCGAACTCCGCCGTTTGGGGCGGTTCCCGGTGGAATTTTTTGATGAAATTTTTTGAGCATGTTCTTCATCAAGTCTAGTTTGTCCATACCAAATTTCAGCTCAAAATTCGATCGGGAAGGTTGTCAAATGATTTTTGCAAGTTAACTGGTCCGGAAAATACATATTCCGGACCAGTTAACTTGCAAAAATCATTTGAAGACCTTCCCGATCGAATTTTGAGCTGAAATTTGGTATGGACAAACTAGACTTGATGAAGAACATGCTCAAAAAATTTCATCAAAAAATTCCACCGGGAACCGCCCCAAACGGCGGAGTTCGGACGGCGGCTGGACCGGGGAGGGCTGGACCTGATCTTTCTTGATACTTATATATATATATATATATATATATATATATATATATATATATATATATATATATATATATATATATATATATAACATTATATAGATATATTCGAATTACTATATATAGTAGTATTATATATTCGAATTTCAAAGTATATTATACTATATTCGAATTACGAGAGCTCTTCTCATCAGGCCGGCCTGACGGGCTGCCCCGTCCGGCCGAGCCCGTTTGGGCACCTTCCCGGTGGAATTTTTTGATGAAATTTTTTGAGCATGTTCCTCATCAAGTCTAGTTTGTCCATACCAAATTTCAGCTCAAAATTCGATCGGGAAGGTCGTCAAATGATTTTTGCAAATTAACTGGTCCGGAAAATCATTTGACGACCTTCCCGATCGAATTTTGAGCTGAAATTTGGTATGGACAAACTAGACTTGATGAGGAACATGCTCAAAAAATTTCATCAAAAAATTCCACCGGGAAGGTGCCCAAACGGGCTCGGCCGGACGGGGCAGCCCGTCAGGCCGGCCTGACATGATGATTTCTCTTCGAATTACTATATATATTATACTTATATATATTATACTTTTTTTATTCGAAGTATATTTGTTTAATATTGTATTAACATTACTTGATTAGTTCATTGTATTAGTCATCTTATAGTAATACACTTATACATTATATATTATAAACATTATATTATATATTAGTTATACACTTATACAATTCTATTACCTACAAGTAGTTAATAGAATGTTGTTACATTTTAATTAAAGTATAAAAGTAGTTAATTGTTGCATTTGTCATTTCGCTATTAGTTCATTTGTTAATTGTTGCATTTTTCATTAAAGTGTACAAGTATTTAATTGTTATATTTTAATTAAAGTATAAAACTAGTTAATTGTTGCATTTTTCATTAAAGTGTACAACTAGTTAATTGTTACATTTTAAATAAAGTATAAAACTAGTTAATTGTTGCATTTTTCATTAAAGTGTACAACTAGTTAATTGTTACATTTTAATTAAAGTATAAAACTAGTTAATTGTTGCATTTTAATTAAAGTATAAAACTAGTTAATTGTTGCATTTTTCATTAAAGTGTACAACTAGTTAATTGTTACATTTTAATTAAAGTATAGCACTTTTATAAGTTGCATTTTTCATTAAAGTGTACAACTAGTTAATTGTTACATTTTAATTAAAGTATAAAACTAGTTAATTGTTACATTTTAATTAAAGTATAAAACTAGTTAATTGTTGCATTTTTCATTAAAGTGTACAACTAGTTAATTGTTACATTTTAATTAAAGTATAGCACTTTTATATTTGTTAAGATGGACCGTGGTAGACATTCTGTAGATATGGGAAATCTCCAACGCAACCGAAAGAAGGAGATTGCGAGAACTCATCCTAGTTTGCGCAAGAATACCGGGCAGTCCGGGTCTTCTTCTCAAAGTCGACAAGATTTTGAACCGGAATACCAACGGCGAGATGGCCATGCGATGTCCGACGAGCAACTACAACAACTATTGGCTCAAAATGATGGGCGATTTTTCAATCAACGAGACATCCCGGACGAGATTCACACCATTGACGAAGAAGAGCTCGAGGATGACGATCCGGAGGAGGACGCGGGGGGTGCCGGGAGTCACGGCACCCCGGATGAGGAGCAAGAGGCGGAGGACGAGGGTGGTTCATCCCAAACAGGTACGAAATCTAAATCTCCTATTATAGAAAATAATTTTAAATAGTATAAAGACCCAAACACCGAGAAATGGTATGCAAGTTGCAACCATTGTGATAAGGTGTATAGCTTGGGAACTTCGGGCGGATACGGGAGCCTCAAAAGGCATCTTATGGGCAAGCACAAGGTGGAGTACGCAAAAATTGAGAAAGGCAAGGGGAAGCAAACACAAATATCGAGGTTTGCAAATAACCAACCTTATGGTAATTTCTCGTACAGTGATCAACAAAATTTGACGGGTATGGCTAACTTTATGGTTGAAGAAAATTTACCTTATCTGTTTTCTGAAAGTGTTTCTTTTCAAGAGTATGCACAAACTTGTTTAAATCCTCAATTTCGAAGTTTTAGTCGAAAAACGGTTAAGAAAGAAATTATAAGGCTTTATAAGGCGGAAAAGGCAAACTTACAAATTTTTTTTTGCAAACTATGATGGGCGTGTTACTGTTTGTTCTGACATATGGGAGGACACCTATCATAATTTACATTATTTGGGTTTGACTGCACATTATGTTGATGATGATTGGAATATGCATAAACGTGTTCTTGCTTTTCGTGAATTTAATGATCGTCACACCGCTGAACATATTTATATGTTGATTGAGCGTATTTTAATTGAGTATAATTTGGTTAATAAGGTGTTTGCTATAGGTTTTGATAATGCTACTAATAATACTGCTGCTATACCTAGATTGCGTGAATTGTGTGGTTCTACTACTTTGATGGGTAGATTTTTTCATCAACGATGTATGATAAGTCCATTTTTGTACTTATTTTTCTTATCAAATTTAAGCGATTTTTGATTGAAAATAGAAAGAAAAGGCATGTTTTAGATATTTTGGTTCAAGTTTCATGAAATTAGGTGAAAACCACATTCATAATATGTTTGCTGGGATTTCGGGTCAATTGAGCACAAAATGAGTCAATTTGAGTAACAAATGAAGTCATACCGGAAGAAGTAAGCATTTTATCAAGATGACCCAGAAGACAATCTTGGAGAGCAGGAACCGCAGGAATTACCGGACGATTTTAGCAGAAGGCGCCCAAATAGGCGGTCAAATCTGGGCGCCTGTGTGGCCGCCTACTCTATTTTGGAAAGTCAACGTTTGGCTTTGACTCGGAACCGGAAGATGACCGAAGGCTGCCGACACCAGGCGGAGGGCAGCCGCCCTCAGTGGCCGCCTGCGGCACTACGAGACGAAGCCAACCACCGGCCGGTGCGACTGGACGGCAGGCGGCCAGACAGGAACGGCAGGCGGCCGCCCTCTGGACCGCCTACGGCTGACGAGACGCGGCCACGATCCGCTGCCGGCGACGAGAACGGAAGGCGGCCAGAGAGAGGCGGAAGGCGGCCGCCTGGTTGGCCGCCTACGGGAAATTTTTTCCTATAAATTGCCCGATTTTTGCTGAACTCAAACACACCATTCTAAACCCTAAATCAGCTCTCATTAGCCTCTTTCTTCTTTTATTTTCGAGCTCCAAGAGCAAGTAGAGAGAGAAAGCTTCAAATCTTCATATCTTCTTCATTTTAGCTCCAAATTGTAAGTTCTTTATATGTATTTTCATCTTCTCAACGTGTAGAATCTGAATCTGTGCTTTGTTTCTTCGATCTGTTCTTCGAAAATTTCCAGCTTATTTTTCAAGTATTTCGCAATTCCTTCCAAAAATTAAATAAAATAGTTATTGATGTTGAATTCATTCCAATTAATTATATAGTTGTTCACTAGCCTCAAGGTAGTTATTTATCTGAAGAAATTTATTTTTCACGAAGTAGAAGTAATTTTTAATTAATTTCGGTAATTACTTGATATTATTGCTTAAATTAAAATAAATACTCAAAAAAGGAAAAAAAATTAGTTCGGCCTTAATTTCAGTTTAATTCATTGTTATATCACTACCAGTAGTTAAAATAAAATTTATAACGAAGTTAGAGTATTTTTAGTTGCTTTTTGCATTTTCTAGTTAAAATTGGGAAAATCATCAATTAGTTGCTAAAATTGGATCTTAAATTTATTAATTCGTGAAAACTTCCAGAAAATTATATTTTAGTTCCTATAAGTTTATTGTCCCAGAATATAAGTTTTGTTTGAATTTTTGCTATCATCCATGTTTAATTCCTTGTTAATGTTGAATATACTCATTATATTGTTAGTTGTAAAAATGATGTTTAGTAGCTAAATTTGTTTTGGGCATGAATTGAGAAAAGGAATATGGATTGACTTGTTGACCTAAAATTAGGGGTTAAAATTAATAAATTGGACTAGTTGTTTAAAATGATGAAATAGTAATTAATAATAGTTAGCCATTTTCATTAATTAAATTCTTGGAAAATTAATTCTAAATTGTCTATGAGATTAGAAATTAATTTAAGCCAAACATATTTGAGCACATTAATAAGGCCTAGAAATAGGATAATTTAATGAAAAGGATTTACATCTTGTCTATGAGAAATAAATTCAGTTGCTAAAATAAAGAGTTTAACTAGTTAATGAATTTGGCTATTTTTATTAATTAAAATATTGAAAAATTATTTCTACCTTGTCTATGGGTTTAGAATATAATTTAAGCCAACCATTTTAAACACATTAATGACACCTAGAAATAGGATAAATTAATGAAGATAATTTCTATTCTTGTCTATGAGGAAAGAAATTATTAGTCCAACCTTAGTCTTAATTTCCCTAATTAAGAGGTCCAAGAACATATCCATTTCTAATTACTCAATTCATTGCCCTTATTTGCATCAATCTTTAGAACACTTTTTGAACATTAATCTTTAAATTGAACCAGCTCTTACTTATAAACTGGCATAATTTAGAACACAACCACTTTCCTATATTGAAAAAGCTTCCAAGGTGGAGTACGCAAAAATTGAGAAAGGCAAGGGGAAGCAAACACAAATATCGAGGTTTGCAAATAACCAACCTTATGGTAATTTCTCGTACAGTGATCAACAAAATTTGACGGGTATGGCTAACTTTATGGTTGAAGAAAATTTACCTTATCTGTTTTCTGAAAGTGTTTCTTTTCAAGAGTATGCACAAACTTGTTTAAATCCTCAATTTCGAAGTTTTAGTCGAAAAACGGTTAAGAAAGAAATTATAAGGCTTTATAAGGCGGAAAAGGCAAACTTACAAATTTTTTTTTGCAAACTATGATGGGTGTGTTTCTGTTTGTTCTGACATATGGGAGGACACCTATCATAATTTACATTATTTGGGTTTGACTGCACATTATGTTGATGATGATTGGAATATGCATAAACGTGTTCTTGCTTTTCATGAATTTAATGATCGTCACACCGCTGAACATATTTATATTTTGATTGAGCGTATTTTAATTGAGTATAATTTGGTTAATAAGGTGTTTGCTATAGGTTTTGATAATGCTACTAATAATACTGCTGCTATACCTAGATTGCATGAATTGTGTGGTTCTACTACTTTGATGGGTAGATTTTTTCATCAACGATGTGCATGCCATATAATAAATTTATGTGTGCAGGATGGTCTAAAAGCGTTGGGAGATGCTATGGAGGTAGCGAAGGGGGGATTAGACGTATTTGGGCTAATGGTCAACTTAAATTAAAATGGAAAAATTATTTGAATGAAAGAAATGTGAAATATGTTGCTTTTCCTAAAGATTTGTCTATTCGGTGGAATAGTTCTTATAAATTAGTTAGAGTTCTTATTAGATATAAAGAACATATTCCTGCTTTTTTAAAAGAATATGATAACTACATTTTAAACCCCGCTCACATCGACACTTGCGAAAAAATTTGTAATGTTTTGATATTTTTTAATAATGCAACTGAAAGTTTTAGTCATGTTTATAAACCTACTTCAAACGAATTTATGCGTGAACTTGTTAATCTCGCCGATGCTTTTAATGAATTTGAAAATGCCGATTATGTGAGCCATTTTTGTGGTTTTATGAAGGAAAAGTTTTTAAAATATTATGCACATATTCCGCATATTTATGGTATTGCATTTATTCTCGATCCTCGTTATCGACTTGGTAATTTGGAACAATGTTACAAGTTCTATTATCAATCTTTTTATGGTGATTTTCCAATGTATGAAGATAACCCTATAGATCCGCAATCTGAATACAACGAGGTTAGTAGTTTATTCTATTCTTTATTTAATGAGTTTCGTGCACAATATGACAACGCTCCCCCTCCCCCGACCCAAACATCTTCATCTAAAGGAAAATCACTTTTTAAATCTTCATTTGGAAATCTTATGAAAAAAACTAAAACAACTCACACTACTGAACAAAGCACAATTAATGAGATTGCTTTGTATACTAACTATGAGGTTGAGTTTGTAGAAAATGAAGAATTTGACGTCCTAAAGTGGTGGAAGTCAAAAGAAAGAATGTTCCCGATTTTAGCACGGATGGCTAAGCAAGTACTATCAATGCCGGTTTCAACAGTTGCCGTGGAACAAGAATTTAGTTCGGCCGGCAACGTCCTAACTAAATCGAGAACGTGTTTGAGTGCCGAATCTCTTGAGACGCTTATATGCTACCACGATTGGTTGAAGGCAAGACGTAGAACTCAAGAACTTAGCATCACCCCCTCCCAAGACTTTATGGATGAATCAACCGAAGGTGGTTCTACCTATGCCGGAGATTCCGATTGATTAGTATTTTACAATTTCTTATTTTATCCTCAATTCTCTATTGTAATTTGTCAACTTGTAGATTTGTAGTTCATTTTTCAAATCAATATACATTATATTTTTTTATATGTCACAATTCTCACATTAATCAAGTTACAACTTACAACTTAGATTCTTAGAAAGTTAGAAACTTACAATTAATTATATTATATTATTATTACTTTTTTTTTTGAGAGAAGGAAATTTTATTAAGGATAACAAAATAAACGATTACAAATGAAAAAAGAAGACAGAAGAGGAACAAAAAGAAAAAGAAAAGGAAATACCCAATCCCCAAATACATTTTTTTTCCCTACCCAAAAAAGCCCTAATTATATTATTATTACTTATTACAAAATGTATTAGATTTAATTGTTCTCAATTCTAAAATGTAATTCCTATTTCACATAAATGCACTTGAAGATTGTTTTATAATATCCAAAAGATGTATATTTTAACAATAAAAAAAATTACAGGCCCGACCCGACCCGGCAGTTCACCCGACCCGGGGCCCGGCCGAGTCACCCGGCCTCGAACCGGCACCCGTCTACTAGCGGGCCGGGCCCGGGCCTAACTTTTACAAACCGAGGCCCGGCCGGTTCGCGGCCCGAACCGGGCCCGAACCGGACCGAGTCCAGCCCTAGTTTGGAGTGAAATCAGAAGTGTTTGTGAATTTCATGCATTGTAAATTGAGTCGGAACAATAACGTTAGAGTTCAAATAAATTATAAAAGGATAAAGTTAAAAGTTTTAAGTGGATATATGCAATTGACAATAACTATTTTTCTAAGGAGATTGATTTCAAAGTTAGAGATAAGAAAGTGTGTCATATTTGTAGAGATTAAATAGTACGGAGTAGTGGATAGTTGCGGTGGAGATAAAAATATCAATTCAGTGTTCATGTTCAAAAACTTATGTATACTTGTGCATCTATATATGTACTAGAAAAAAAATTGGGGGAGGCGGGTAGGGATGGACTGGGATGGGTTGACCCAACCCGGTTCGATTTGGTGGTACCTGGACTGGGGCCCGAATCGGCTGTTTATGGGGTGGGCTACAGTAGTCATGGACTGGGCCCGAGTCGGGCCTAGGCCCGGCCGGGCCTCGGAATTCTTGAATTAAACCCGAGACCGGCCCGTGTTGTGACCGGTGCCGGTTTGGGCCGGGCCACCCGCCAGGGTCACGGGTCGGTCCACCCGCCAGGGTCACGGGTCGGTCCACCCGTCGGGCCGGGTCAGTTTATATTTTTTTCCCTATTAATTTATAGAAGTGCTTATTAAAAACAAAGTTCAAGTCAGGGGCGTAGACAGGGGTGGCCAACCCTGGCCATGGCCCAGCCCAAATTTTAAAAATGTCTAAATTTTTAGGGTAAAAAATTTCGAATAAATTTCGAATAAATTTTTATCCAAAAATATTCTTTGTACCTGCCCAGTTCGGCCCAGTGTCCTAGTTCCGCCCCTGGTTCAAGTGCATTTATTTGAAATATGAACTACATTTGAGAATTGAGAAAAAAATTACAATATGAAATACAAGTTTACAATTGAGAATTGAGAAAGAAATTCAAACATGAAATACATTTTATAATAAATTGTAAAATACTAATCAATTGGAATCTCCGACATAGGTAGAGCCACCCTCAGTTGTTGATCCATCCATAAAGTGTTGGGAGGAGGTGATGCTAAGTTCTTGAGTTCTACGTGCGGCCTTCAACCAATCGTGGTAGCATACAAGCGTCTCAAGAGAGTTTGCGCTCAATCTCGTTCTAGAAACCGTTAGAACGTTGCCGGCCGAACTAAATTCTTGTTCTATGACGACTGTTGAAACCGATATTGATAGCATTTGCTTAGCCATCCGTACTAAAATCGGGAACATTCTTTCTTTTGCCTTCCACCACTTTAGAACGTCAAAGTCATCATTTTCTTCAAAATCAACATCATATGTTAAATACAAAGCAATCTTATTAACTGTGCTCTGTTCACTAGCGGGAGTTGTTTTTGTTTTTTCAAAAGATTGCCAAATGCAGATTTAAAAATTGATTTTCCTTTAGATGAAGATGTTCTTGTCGGGGGAGGGGGTGCGTTGCCGTATTGTTCATGAAACTCATTAAATAAGGCATAAAATAAAGTACTAACCTCATTGTATTCTTGTAAAGGATCTATGGGGTTATCGTCATACATTGGATATTCACCAAAAATGCAAGATAATAGAACTTCAAACATTCTTGCAAATTAGCAAGTCTATAATGAGGATCAAGAATAAATGCAATACCATAAATATGAGGAATATGTGCATAATATTTTAAAAACTTGTCTTGCATAAAATTACAAAAATAACTCACGTAAGCGGCGTTCGAAAATTCATCAAAAGCACCGGCGAGATTAACAACTTCACGAATAAATTGGTTTGACGTAGGTTTATAAACATGACAAAAAAATTCAGTTGATTAAAATAATATCAACACATTCACAATTTTTTCGCAAGTGTCGATGTCAGTCGGGTTTATAATATACGGAGTAGTTAGCATGTTGTTTTAAAAACGAAGGAAAATGGTCTTTATATCTAAGAAAAACTTTGATTAACTTATAAGTACTATTCCTGAGAATAGTCAAATCTTTAGGAAATTCAACATATCTCACACCTCTTTCTATCAAATATTTTTGCCATTGTAATTTAATTTGAACACTAGCCCAAATACGTCTAATTCTCCCCTTGACTACCTCCATAGCATCTCCTAACGCGGCTAGACCGTCTTGCACACATAAATTGAGAATATGGCATGCACATTGTTGATGAAAAAATCTACCCATCAAAGTAGTAGAACCACACAATTCACGCAATCTAGGTATAGCAACAGTATCATTACTATCATTATCAAAACCCATAACAAACACCTTATTAATCAAATTATACTCAATTAAAATACGCTCAATTAGAATATAAATATTATCAGCGGTGTGACGATCATTAAATTCACGAAAAGTAAGAACCCGTTTATGCATTTCCCAATCATCATCAATATAATGTGCAGTCAGACCCAAATAATGTAAATAATGATTAGTATCCTCCCATATGTCACAACAAATACTAACACGCCCATCAAAGTTTGCGATTTTTTTTGTAACCTTGCCTTTTCTGCACCATAAAGTCTTATAATTTCTTTCTTAATCGTTTTGCGACTATAATTTCTAAATTGCGGATTTAAACCACCTTGAGCATAATCTCTTAAAGCAAGACTTTCAGAAAACAAATAAGGCAAATTTTCTTCAACAATTAAGTTAGACATAGCACTCAAATTTTGTGCATCATTGTATGAGAAATTACCAAAAGGTTGGTTATTTGCAAACCTCGATATTTGAGTTTGCTTCCCCTTTCCTTTGTCTAATTTTGCATACTATACGATGTGTTTGGCCTTAAGATGCCTTGCCAATGATTCGTATCCGCCGGAAATCCCCAAGCTATAATCTTTTTGGTACCACTTGTAGGTTGCGTGTCAATTCCCGGTCTCCGCGTCCTTCCACTATCAAAATTATTTTTCATAAGTTCAGATTTACTTTTTTTCTTACCGGGTTGGGATAAGGCGGGCTCGTCGTCGTTGTGGGTGCCGTCACCCTCGTCCTCGGCCGTCTCTGGTTGAACTTCGCCCGCATCATCATCCTCGAGCTCTTCTTCGTCAGTGGTTCTCGGGATGTCTTGTTGTTGTAAAAAGCGGTTATTATGTTGCTCAAATTCTTGTAGTAGTTGCATGTCGGACATCGCATCCCCGTCTCTCCGTTGGTAATCCGTTTCAAAATCATCTCGGGTTTGAGAAGAAGACCCGATATGTCGTTTACCTTTGCGTGTACTAGGATTATTCCTCTGGATCTCATTCTTTCGGTTGCGTTGGAGGTTGCTCATATCAACCGAACTTCTACCACGATTAATCTTAAAAAGTGTAACAAATATTAAATTGGAATTAACAAATATATTAATATGAGTAAAATAGTAATGCAACTTATTAAAACTATTTTAATTAATACTTCAATCTAACAAGTGTAGTTTAATGAAATAAAATTCTAACTAATATTTTTTTTTATAAAAACAATTTGAGTGAAATGTGAACCACTTTAATTAAAATGATAATTAATTAACTAAAATGCGATTATTATATTAGTTATAGCAAATTTCCAAGTACTTTAATTTAGTGAAAACTACTTTAATAAAATGTGAAGTATTTTAAAAAAATAATTTGAACTACTTATTTTCTTTGAAATAAAAATTGAAACTACTACGGAGTATAATGTAACAATTAACTAGTTTTGTAAAGTAGTCACAAAGGTAACAATTAATTAAAATTTGTAATGAACTAATGTACTACTTTAACAAAAAAAAATGTAACTAATAAGACAAATGTATGAATGTGTATACTAATTAATGGGAGTAATAGAATGTATTTAACTAATACTAATTAAAGTGTAACTAATGTATAATATATTGTGTATAGTAGACAATTATAAGTATGAGTATTAAATAACAAGTATGTAATAAGTAGATATTAAGTATATATAAGTTTATAATATGAGTAGTAGACTTATATATAATTAATATATTAATTAGATGTAATATAAGTAATATATTAGTAAATAACAAGTACTACCTTCGTCCCACTAAGATTGGGACGGAAGAAGGTGGCATGATTATTAAGAAAAATGGGTTTGTGTGATTGATATTAAATTGATAAAGTAAGAATAAAGTAATAATGGTTTAGAGCCACACAATCTTTACAAATTTGGTATGGGAAAATCTTAGTGGGACTTCCTGAAAAGGTAAAATGGGACAATCTTAGCGGGACGGAGGGAGTATATAATAAGTAGATATTAAGTATATATAAGTAAATAATTCGAAGTATATTAGTATTTAGTAGATATAATATTTGTATAACTAATATATAATATGATGTTTATAGTATATAATATATAAGTATATTACTATAAGATGAGTAATCCACTTATATTTAATACTTTAATATATAAAGTATATATTAAGTAGATGTAATATGTATGTATTAAGTAGATATTAAGTATATAATAAGTAGAGATTAAGTAGATAATAAATATAAGTAATATGATATATGTATTCATAAGTAAATAATTAATATATAAGTAGATATAATAATTGTATAATTATTAAATAGTAAAATAGAATGGAGAATAAGATAATTTGAGAAGATGAAGATGGAAAAATGGAGAATTGGAGATGATTAAGGATAATACGGAGTAGAATGTTAGAGTAGGAAGAGTTGGAGAAGAGGTGTAGAAAAATGTATAAAAATAAGAGTATTTATAGGTTTTTTTACCCCCACCCCAAACGCCCGGGACCCCCCAACGGCTATATAGCCGTTTGGGACCGTTTGGCAACGGCTAGTGCCATGTTTCACTACAAAAAAACAGCGTTATAGTCACGGATTTTAGTCACGGATTTCGTCCGTGACTAGTTTAGTCACGGTCTAGTCACGGACTAGTCACGGAAATTTTAAAAAAAAAAATAGTCACGGTCAGGACCGTGACTATGACCGTGACTAATGTTAGTCACGGTCGTGGGCCGTGACTTAATTCCTCCGATAGGCCCATTTCCGTTTCCGGCGCAGTTTTTTTTATTCCGACGACTTAGTCACGGCCAAATCCGTGACTATGCCCGTGACTATAATTAAAATTTAATTTTTTTCAACTCCCTTAGTTAATTCGCAATGGCATTATGTACGGATAATTGTAGTCACGGTCATATCCGTGACTAGTTCCGTGACTATGTTGATTAACACGTCATTTACACGTAATTAACACGTGTTGGACGCGTATTGGACACGGTTTTGCTTAGTGACGGACAAATCCGTGACTAAGTCCGTGACTAAATTTTTTATATATGCAGGAGCAGCTCATTCATTCAACAGAACCACACCAATTCATTCCCAGTATATACAGTATCCGTAGATCGAAGGATGTAGTCTATCTTCTATCATTTTCCCTGTTTATGCAGATAAGGTATGTTATTTGAATTATAATTTTTATTTAGAATTAGTTGGTTCAATTTAAATTATTAAAACTATTAAATTAGTGAGGTTGTTAATTAATTAACAACATGTTTTAACTATAAGCGTAGTAATGTCATAAATTAGAATTAGTTAAACTTTTAGGTTTATAAATTAAAATAATTTAATTAAAATTAGTTAGATAAATGTGGTTTAAAACGTAATGATGTTTATGTTTAGTGAAATTAGTTCAAATAACGTACGTTAGTAATGTGTTAATTAAGTGAATTGTGAATTGTTATTGTGAATTGTGTATTGCTTATTAATTCAAATAACTTTATATACATGTTCAAATTATTGGGTTGAATTTGGTCATATTATTTAATTTAGTGAATTGTTAATTGTGTATTACTAATAAGATTAAATGTCATTAACGTAATAATTTAGTGTAGGTTTAAACGTAGGTTTACAAAAATAATTTAATTAAAATTCGTTTGGTAAACGTAGGTTTGAACGTAGCTATTGATGTGTTAATTAAGTTAAATTAGGTAGCTAAACGTAAGTTTAAACGTAGTGATGCATTAAAAGGGGACGGAATGAACTAGTTAAATTTAGTTAAATTTAACTAAATAAATTAGTTAGATTTAATTAAACGTATGTTTAATATAGTGAAATTATCTGCATTATTGTGCATTAGGGGACATATATTTTGTGCATAACTAAGATGTGAATTCTGTGCATTTCATTTAAAAAAAGTGAAAATTAGTTGATTATATTTAGTGAAATAAATTACTTAAAATTGTGTGCATTGCATTTCATCTAATTTTTTATTATAATATTCAGGCATAATGTATAAAAAAAATAGAAGTTGGATGTATGATAAAGATGCGGTATTGTACGGAATGCAATCAAATTTTCTCGAGGGAGTCGGAGAATTTATTGAATTTGCACTTGAACATCCGGCTTATATGAGTGGTGATAAAATAAGATGTCCATGTTCAAAGTGTAAAAATCTCAAATTTAAAGACCCACACGAAGTTGGGTATGATTTGTACGCGGTCGGTTTTGTTCCCAATTATTATAATTGGACTTCTCACGGCGAACCTTTAGATCCATCTGTTATACCACAAACGGTAGGTTCGTCTCGTTACGTCCCTCCAGAGATGAGTGCGTGGGGAGACCGTGCTGAAATGAGGTGGGACCAACAAATGGTATATGACGCATACGGTGTACCGTCTCAATTCAACCCCCCACAACCACCTAACGACCCCCCTGAAGCCTCAACCTCGTATCAACCAGATGCGGATGAAAATCCGACATTTTATCAACCTTATGTGGATGAAGGTTTGGCTGAGAGATTTCAGGATGTTCTAAAAGCTGCCGACCAACCCCTGTATGCTGATTGTGAGGGATACTCTCAGCTTTCCGCTGTTACTGAGTTCATGAACATAAAAGCCGAATACAGTCTCCCTGAAACTTGCATGAATAGAGTCTTGCACTCAGTAGGAGGGATGCTACCGCGAGATCATACCCTTCCCGATTCATATTACCACATGAAGCAGTTAATGTCTAAGTTGGGGCTACCTTGTGTTGAAATTGATGCGTGCCCGGAAGGATGTATGTTGTTCTGGAAGGAGGATGAGGCACTTGAGTTCTGCAAGTTCTGTGGTGGAGACAGATACAAACCTGTTCGTCAAAATAAAATGAAACCACGACATAGGTCTGCACTGTCTAAACTGTATTACCTCCCAATAGCTCCTCGACTGCAAAGGATGTACGCTTCGACTGCTACTGCGAAACACATGACATGGCATGTTGAGCACGAAACCAACGAGGGTATGATGGCTCACCCTTCGGACTGTGAAGCCTGGAGACACTTTGACCGCTGTCATCCTCAGTTTGCTATGGAGCCACGAAATGTGCGGCTGGGATTGTGCTCAGATGGATTTGCTCCTTTTGGCAGGTTTGGCAAGAACTATTCATGTTGGCCGGTCATGTTAACACCTTACAATCTCCCTCCCGACATGTGCATGAAAAGTCATTTCATCTTTTTGTCTTTAATTTGTCCGGGTTCCAAGGATCCTGGGCGAAAGATAGACATTTATCTCCAACCCCTTATCGAGGAGATGAAAGAACTGTGGGCCGTTGGGACACCAACTTATGATGTTTCATCAGATAAAATGTTTATCATGAAAGCTGCCATCATTTGGACCATTAGCGACTTCCCTGCCTATGGCATGCTTTCGGGATGGAGCACACACGGTCTGATGGGATGTCCGATATGCATGGAGAAATCAGGTGCCAACTGGCTCAGTTACAGCAAAAAAGGAAGTTACTTTGATTGTCACCGCAAGTTTCTCCCGGAAAGGCACCGATATCGAAAGGACAAGAAGTCTTTCATTAGAGGCAGAGCGGTACGAGAGAGCCCACCCCCGAGATTGACCGGTGAAGAAATTTATAACCGGGTTCGACGTTTCCCTACGGCTATGGAAGAGCCAAACCAAGAGCCATATGGGTATTGTGATACCCATAAGTGGACAAAGAGGAGCATATTCTGGGAGTTGCCTTATTGGAAAGACCTTCTCATCCGTCACAATTTAGATGTCATGCACACCGAGAAGAACGTCTTTGACAATATATTTAACACGGTGATGGATTTGAAAGGCAAAACTAAAGACGGTCTTGCAGCTAGGAAAGATATGACTATTTGGTGTGATAGACCCGAACTTTCTGTTGATCTAGAATATCAGGGCAAGGAAGTTCCAAAAGCAGTCTACCAGGTCACAGAACCACAAAAGGCAGCAATATTAAAATGGCTTGCGTCTCAGAAGTTTCCAGATGGCTACTGCTCCAACTTGTCTAGATGCGTAGACATGAACAAACTTACCACGACGACGAGCATGAAAACTCACGATGCTCATGTAATAATGCAAAGACTTCTACCTATTGCACTAAAAGAGATGCTCCCTGAACACGTATGGTCCTGCATTACTGAAATCAGTTTGTTGTTTCAATCGATATGTTCCAGCGTTTTGGATGCGGCATCCCTCCGGAGACTACAAGAGTCTGTTCCCATTCTGATGTGTAATCTGGAAAAAACAATGCCACCATCGTTTTTCGATACAATGGAACATCTCATTATACATCTTCCGTATGAGGCTTTGACTGCTGGGCCCGTCTTCTATCGGTGGATGTACAGATTTGAAAGGTTAGTCACAATTTCATTTAAAAAAAGATTATTTATTTCACAATAACTATTAACATGTGTATTATTGCATTATTGCAGATTTCTAGGAGAGCTGAAAAAGAAAGTGACCAACAAGGCACACGTTGAGGCTTCAATTTGTCAAGCGTATCTTCAACAAGAAATCTCAACGTTCTCGTCTTTTTACTTCGAGCGTGACGTCATCACCAGAAGGAAGAGACCTGCCCGGAACGATGACATTGGCGAGGATTTATATGAAAATGTAGTTTCCATCTTCAATTACCCAGGCAGAGGTAAAGGTGCTGCGACACAACGATACATCCTGGGTGGGGAATTGCAAATTGCGCATACTTATATCCTCATGAATTGTCCAGAAATCTCACCGTTTTATCAGTAAGTTAAATTTGTAGTTATAAATGTAATACTTATAAATTAAATTTGTAGTTAATTTATAGTTTTTTTTTTTATTTTTGACTTCACAGTGAATTCCGAGCTTCTTTATCAGCCTTTCCTGAGAATGAAATTGATGCGTTGGTGGACTCTGATTTTGTAAATTGGTACAAGTATCAGGTATATACACACACACATTAAGAAGCTGTTCTCTTCGCCTGATCTGAATGTTTCTGATCTGAATTTTTTAAGTTCTGATCTGATCTGATCTGAATTTTTCTGATCTGATCTGATCTGATCTGAATCTTTCTGATCTGATCTGATCTGATCTGAATCTTTCTGATCTGATCTGATCTGATCTGAATCTTCCTGATCTGATCTGAATGTTTCTGATCTGGTCTGATCTGATCTGAATGTTTCTGATCTGATCTGAATCCTTCTGATCTGATCTGAATCTTTCTGATCTGATCTGATTTGAATATTTCTATGATTATAATTATAATTATAATTATAATTATAATTATAATTATTATAATTGCAATTACAAATATATTTTAAATAAAATTATAATCATAATCGTAACTATAATAATAATAATAATAATTATTAAAATTAAATTTAAAATGAAAAAATTTATACCTATTACATTAATTATGAATATAGATATAATTATAATTGTAATTATAATTACAATATTTATCTCTATAATTGTAACTATAGTTATCAATATTATTATAATTACTCCGTAAAATAATTACAATAGTAATAATAATAATAATAATATTAATAATTATAATAAAAATAATTATTATATTCATAAATTATAATTATAATATAATTATAAGTATAATTATAATTATTATAATTATAATTAATAATAATTATAATTATACTAAAATTAATTGTAATATTATAATATAATAATAGTAATATAAATGCAATTAATATTATTATAACGATATTATTATTATTACAATAATATAATAATAATATGATTATTATTATAATTAGTATTATATTATTATAATATTATATTATAATTATAATCATAATTATAATTATGATTTTAATTATAATTATAATTATTATAATTATAACTAATTACAATTATAATTATAATTAATTATAGATATAATTATAATAATTATAATTGATTATACTTATAATTATAAGAATTTTAATTGTAACTATAATTATAATTACATATAATTATAATATAATATTATAATAATATTAATCATATTATTATTATTATTATATTGTAATAATAATAATAGTCTTCTTAATAATTGCATTTATATTACTATTATTATATTAAAATATTATAACTATTATTAATATCTTATTTTTTTTATCATATTATTATTAATATTATTAATAATAATTATATAATAATAATAATCATAATAGTAATAACAATATTAATAATAATAATTAATATAATAATAAAAGTGATAAATCATGTTTGAACTTTTCTGATCTGATCTGAATGTTTCTGATCTGATCTGAATGTTTCTGATCTGATCTGATCTGATCTGAATCTTTCTGATCTGATCTGAATCTTTCTGATCTGATCTGATCTGATCTGAATCTTTCTGATCTGATCTGATCTGATCTGAATTTTTCTGATCTGATCTGATCTGATCTGATTTTTTCTGATCTGATCTGATCTGATCTGAATAAAATAAGAATAAGTAATAAGTAATAAGAATAAGACGAACAGAACAGCACCTAATTATATATATTACCTAATGTTTACCTAATGTTATTATTATGTTTATATTTACAGATCAATAGTCGTGGGATTGTCGACCCTTTGTTAGTATCATTAGCGTGGGGCCCAGGTGCCAGTGCCAAAGTGTGGCGGCAATATGTGATAAACGGTTACACATATCACACAGCCGATTACGGAGAGGGCCGACCAACAACGAACAGCGGGTTATGTGTCCCGACCATCGGTTATGATAACTCGGAAACCAATTTTTTTGGTGTCCTGCAGGAGATTCTGGAGCTTGAGATGCCTTCTGGTGCGAAAAAATTGACATGCGTTCTGTTCCGTTGCACATGGGTCGACCCCACACGTGGCGTGCGCAAAAATCCGAAGTATAATATGATTGACGTCAACCAGTCTCGTGTGTACCCGAAAAATGAGCCTTTCATACTCGCCCAACAAGCAGCGCAGATTTATTATGCAGAATATCCTTCAACAAGGCGGACACAGAATCCTTGGGTGTGTGCATGTCCTGTCCGTCCGAACAAAATAAAATCACAAACTCAACACAAGGACGTTGATCTAGATGCTTTTCAGCAACAATTTTTCCAACCTCCGCCTATTGTTGAGACGGTCAACTATAACGTCCAATTAAGTGATCCAAATGGCGGACGTGTTGAAGTCATGCCAGAAACGCACCTTCCGGACCCAACCATTCCATCTGAGCGCGAAATTGAGGAAATGTATGTAGCACAACAAAATGCTCAATATCAGGAAGAAGGTGAATGGATAGACGGTTCAGATACAGAAGAAGATACTGTATATGTAGAAAATGACGATTCTGATAGCGAATAATTGTGCTGTTGTAATTTCAATTTTATTGACTTCTAATATTTGTGCAGATTTCTTCATCATTATATTACTCCAACAATATTTGAATTTTTTTCTATCTTTATCATTAATATTTATGAACAAAAAATTACTCCATATTAATTCAACCACAACAAGTTTTTTATATCCATATTATAAATTCAAAATAAAATTTTTCACAATTCGAAGTTTGAAAATTAAAATTTACCCAATACAAAATATGAAATTACTCTATATTATATTCTTTTATTTTCAAATTCGAAAATTCAAATATTATTTTTGATTTTTCTAAATTCGAAAATTTATTTTAATAATTTTTAATAATTCGAAATTCGAAAATTAATTTTAATAATTCTAAGTCTATTCGAAAATTAACAAAATTCGAAAATTAAAAAAACAGTAATCTACTTTTACTAATCTGAATATTATAATAAATTTAGATATTAATAAACAACTAACAGATATTTATTTATCAAATTTCAAAGATAAATACAAAACACACAATGAAATTGTCACATATTATTTATTAAACAACTAACATAGATTTATTTATCACATTAGCCTAACTAACATTATTCATTCCTCAATCGGAAACTTTCAAGAGGCCTAGCCCACAACTCCTGAATTTTCATTCGAGCTTCTTCGTTGATCGGGTCCATATACTCTGAAACTTCTTGTGCACGTTGAAGCATCCGACACAAATTTCTTGCTTTTGACTTGCCCAACGAGTCGGATTCTTCATCTTTATAATCGCCAAAACTTTCAAGGGGTCTAGACATCAACTCCTTGATTCTCTCGTATGCTTCCACGGTTTTCGGCTCCATAAGCTCTGTAATCAGCTTAAGTCGTTTCATATCTCTACACATCGAATCCCAGTCAATTGGACCTCTATTAGCCATTTTTTTTTACAGTTCAGTCTTGGGGCGGAGAAAGATTATTTATACTAAAAAATTTCAAGTTGTCACGGTCTTAGTCACGGTCAGGACCGTGACTAAACCCTTCGTAAATGCCGAAGTCAGTCCGCCGGTCAGAGCGGCGCTGACAATAATAGTCACGGTCAGAACCGTGACTATGACCGTGACTATTTTCAAAATTTGTAAAAAGTCACGGTCATAGTCACGGTTCTGACCGTGACTATTCCGATTAAATCAATCTCTGACCGTCGGCGCTGACTTCGTCAATTACGAAGGGTTTAGTCACGGTCCGGACCGTGACTATGACCGTGACTAAACCCTTATATAAAATAAACACTTAGCGTCTTTTTTTAAAAACCTACGCACCCAACTCCCAAACCCTAACTTCCTCTTCCTTCTCTCTTCCCTCTCTTCCAGTTTAGACAGTGCCGCCGCCGCCTAGCCGTCCGCCGTCAGCCGCCTAGCTGTCCGCCGTCGCCGCCTAGCTGCCGCCGTCAACGCCTAGCCGTCCGCCGTCGTCCTCCGGCCGCCTTCGTCCACGTTCTTCCGTCGGCCCTTCTTCAGTCAAGGTTATGTGTTTGTTCATCTTATTTTGTAATATTTGATTAAAATTCAAAAAATGCATGATTGTATACTCAAATGCATGATAAGATGCACGAATTTTAGTTTTATATCATTTTGTAATCTTCAAAAGTTATATGTACGATTTATTATATGCATGATTTGTAGTTTTGCATGTTAATTTCATTTTATATGTTTCGTATGCATGATTAATATATGTTCAAATGTAGATTATTTTATGTTTAATATATGTTCATATGCATGATTAACATATTTTCGAATTAATGCGTGCTTATACAATTATTTTCATGTTTAACATATATGTTTAGTGTTTGATTTTGCATGACTCTCTATACATATGTATTAAACATTTAAATTTAATCCCGAAAAAAACTAGACAAAAAACTGTTTTTATAATAGTATAAGCAAAAAAAATTATTTATAATAGTATAAGCAAAAAAAAACTAGGCAAAACACTGTTTTAGTTTATATGTTTCATATGCATGGTATGATTTATATGTTTTGTATGCATGATAATTATGTTTAAATGATTTAAATTATTATATGTGTAATATATGTTCTTATGCATGATTAATAATATTTAATATATATGATTAGTGTGTGATATGCATGCCTCTCAGTGGTTAACCCGAAATATTTAAAAAAAAATTGCCCCCTCATGTTAAGCTTTCACAAACTTAACATGTTTAATTCTAATTTTACAAATTTTTATAAACAAATTTTATAAAAAGTATACA